TAATTTAAATTATAAATATTAATCAAATAAGTTAAATAATTTATAACTAATTTTAACATATAAATATAATAATTTTTAAAATTTATCTAATAAAAATATTAATTAATAAATAAATAACTTACAAATTATTCATATCATTAAAAGTGTATTTTAAATATATATATATATATATATATATATATATATATAAACAAATTCTATATAAAAAAATATTGGCAGAGTTGGTCAACTAACCCGTCAACTTGTCTTTGGTGGGGTACACTAGGATATGTAGGTCGTCCTAACTATAGTGGACCAGTCAACCCTATCCCGTTTTTAGGAATTAGAGGCGGGACAAACTTATTCTTTTTGCCATCCCTACTCCTTCTTGAGATGCTCCTCACTTCCTACATATAAAACACTTCCTCTTCTTATTTTTTTTTACTTAAATTTTGAACTTTTCTTACTCTTTGAATGTCTATTTTTTATCTACCCCTTGTGCGTAACCCTTTTATTAATTAATCTCCCCTCCTTTGAGGATAGAACAATTTGTACCTCATCCAATGACAAAACATCTTTAGCATAAATAAGTGAGTAAGAAAGTTATCAAATTCACTTGACAATGATCTCAACAATAACAATGTTTAGTCTTCATTATTAATCTTGATCTCAATATTTCCTAGATCAAGAATGATCTTGTTGAAATCATCCAAGTGATCTTCCACGTATTTCTTTATTGTCGTCTTGAATGTGTATAATTTATGTTTCAAACACAACCTGTTGATCAAAGATTTCTCTACTGTATTTTCTCTCAAAACTTACATAAGAATCTTATCACAACAAACAAAGTCAAGACATTATGAGTTTTATCCAACATCTCTTTCTTCTCCTTACTTGTCACTGTGGTAAACAATTTTTTTTTCTCCTTTAAGATCCTCGTCTAGCCCCTACGTGTAAACTTCTCAATATCCAGGAAAACTGTTAAGTGGTAAAAAATTGATATAATTATGCCTTGAATTGTTATGAAACCACTTAACTTATATTAATTTTAATATATTTTTCTCCCAATATAGGATGAATTCGAGAATACCTTGATACAAGAGTAAGGAGCATAATTGTTAGCATGATTGGAGTAAAATTAAAAGAAAGAAGAATGCTTATCCCAGAAAAACCAATAATTCTTTCTTAGCCCAGCCCCATTACAAGCCTCAAAAGACCTTTTGATTTAAGTCTTGTTTAACAATTGTTGATTGCTTGAAGATGATTATCAATATTGGATTGTCTAAAGGAAGTGATTGAATGAGATAAACACTTACCTGTGAGAATTAGAGATGAGTATATATAACTCTATTTGAGAGATCATGCTTCTCTGAGGATAGTTGAGGACTAATTATTCTTTGTTGGTTTCTATTACTTGAATGCTTATGTGTTCTATTTTCATTTGGAATTGTGAGCATCACCCCTGAAAACTTTTATGTTGTGGTTCTGGAAGAGAAAGAGATAATAGGTGATGATTTTGTTTTGAAAAAACTACTTTGCTTGGGACAAACAAGATTCTAGGTTGGGGGGAGTTGTTAAGTGGTAAAAAGTTGATATAATTATGCCTTGAATTATTATGAAACCACTTAACTTATATTAATTTTAATATATTTTTCTCCTAATATAGGATGAATTCGAGAATACCTTGATACAAGAGTAAGGAGCATAATTGTCAGCATAATTGGAGTAAAATTAAAAGAAAGAAGAACGCTTAAGCGAATGAAAGATGCGAGGCCCGACCCAAATTCTCTTATAAAAAGATAAGTTGTGTTTTGAGAAAAGGAAGCAGTCTTGGAGGAGAGGAAGCACGACTACTGTTAGGGTTTTGTCTAATCTTCATCAATTCTTCACTTTTTCATCAATTAGAGCATTGTAATGGCCAACATGAGTGGCTAACTTCATTCTCTTAGGATTCGGTGCACTTCCTTTGAACTCTTTTGTATCATGGTGATATTTTGAGATATTAATCTATGCTTTGATGTTGTTATTCTTATCATTTATGCTTTGGAATGATTTATTCTTGATTGTTTGAGGTATGATTGGAAAATATATCTTGAACCCTAGATCACGGTAAGAATATTTGTTACGTTAATTGTCAAGAATGGAATGGATGTATCAATTGCTTAAACACCCTAACCTTAATGCTGGAAAATCTGTTAATTGTGTGAGGAATCAACATTTATTAGGTTTTCTTATGAATTTCATGTGTGAGGAATCAACATGGATGATTTGAGTAGGTGACATCAACATTGTTAGGTTAATTGACGTTCTTAATTGACATCACCATTACAAAAGGGGGATAAGGAAGGAAGCTAATCCTAAGTACCTTTAATTGATATTTTCTCAACAATTTACAGTTCTTTGTCATTTAATTTCAATTCAACTCTTATTTGCAAAACCCAATCAGTTTAATATACTTAGTAAGCATAATTGGGAATTTCCATTGAAACTGTTCCTCGTGAGATCGACTTTTATTTAATCGAAATACTATACTATGATTGATAATTTTGGTACGCTTGTCAATAATTCAACAAAAACTCATTTTTCTTGTTACAAAAATTAACACCCCAAGAATAAAAAATCCCAACCTTAGCTCTATATATCAATCTATAATTAAAACATATCTCTACAAATACTATGATTTGAAAAAAAAAAATAGAGATAAAAATTATTATTAAATTGAGTAGTATTTTTATCGTCATTCTATTCATAAAAAATCACAGTCAAATCCTAATATATGTTTTAAGACTTATACAAATACATTATGTTATAAAGTAATAATAGGACAAGAACTAACTACCCAACAAAATAATCTTTCAAGTCAACTAATAATACTAATCCTTATATTTAACTATATTAACTCAATTCCTACACCTTTGTATATCATTACGATTTAGTATCATGTCTTCACTTGCTAACATGCCCTCTAAATTGGCTTCTTGCTAAACATCCAATAAATGTTTCATTTCTAAAATTTATGACAAATTTGTGAGGTTGCCCCAGAGGCGGGAGGGTCATCCCTAGGAGGATTACTAGAAACATGACTAGAAGGGAGACCTCCTCTTCACCTTTCATTTTGAATTTACTTAGTATTTTTGCTTAGTATTTTCTTTTCCTAAGTTTTTCACTTATTTTTGCTTTCCTTTTGTAGGCTCACTTTTTGCACCTCCTTTTTGAAGAATACCACCTTTTTTTGGTGGAAAAGAAGCCTTGGATCCATAGGATACATGCATGGGCAACCCAATGGTGTAGGACACTCCTTTTTCATGTCCTACACCCCTTTTTGGAGAGGAAGAAACTTGAGATGCGGGATTAGTAGGCTTGGAACAACCCAAAAGGAAGCACACCTCTTTTTTTTAGGTTTTTCACACCCTTAGATGTATTTTTGGTAGGCTAGGACGAATTTAACATATTTGGATTATGAAGATTGTAGTCTTTAGGTTTATGTTAAATTTATGTCTTCTTTTGTAATTCCATCTAAGTCCATCCCCCAAAAGCCTATAAATAGAAGGTTTTCCCTTATGTAATTAAGTTGAACATTTATGACAAGTTTGTGAGGTTTCTTAGAGTGTTCCATTTCTTTGAGTGTCTTATCTCGAACCTTGGTTTAAGTGGAGACAACCACCACTTATCTAAGGTGGCTCATCTCCTAGTGGCGTGTCAACACTCTACTACCGTCATACTTTTTTTCTCTTCATTTTTTCTTCTTTATTTCTTCACTCCAATTTATTTATCCAAGGGACTGATCCATTTTTCTAGTCCTTGTCTTTATTCTTTTCTAGTTTCATTCCATCTATTCCTCCCTCCATAATCCTTAGAAATGAACTTTCACATCTAGATAAACAACTATCTTAATGTCTAGTGAGAATTTTCTTTAGATTTTCTTACTTTATTACTTAAAATTCTTCAATATATTTTCTTAAAATTCTGCATCTTATTTTATTTTACATCAAATAAATATTCCATTTCCAAAAATTTTAATAACTGTACTTTATTTTTTATAACACTTTTCTTATCTTGAACACCTTATATGTTAATAATCCATCAAAATTTTACATTTTATTTCTCTTCCAAATTTGTTACACCTGTCTTAGAAGAATTTACAAAATTCTTTTATTTAGAACTTTTGTGTGGTTTAGAACAAATTTACTATGGTGGATATGAAACACTATCTTTGATTTATTGATCGAACTTAACAATAATATCTTAGAAGACCTAGGTTAGAACATTGACATCTGTCTTTTCTAATTATGGTTTAGAATCTCATTATGTACACTAAATAATTTTATCATAAATTGACTATCTATAGTTAAACAAATTTATAAATTAAAAACTTCCAAATATATTCACTCAATAATAAATAATGATGATAAATGAAATTCAATATATAAAAAAGAAAAGAAAAAATATTTATCTATGAAATTTTTTCAACAAGTCAATAATAATAATATGTATATAATAATAATAATAATAAAAATAAATAATGGATTAATAATTTTATTTTATTATCATAATTATAAATATATATATATATATATAAAGAAGATAAATAAGTTAAATTATATTAAATAACACGAATTATTATTTAATTTAATAAAAATATTCAGATTATTTTAAAATTATTTTAAAATTATTTTAAATCTAACTAAATTTATTTAAATAATTGAATTATTTAATACAATAAACATCCTTACATATTGTAACATTTCAAACCCAAATAATCTTTAATTTAATTTTAAGTTAGTCCTTAAAATTATGTTTTAATAAAGTAAAATAATTTTATAAAATTTAATTTTTTAAGGATTAAATTAAGATGAGTTCACATATAATGACTAAACTGGTGATATACTAAAATAACATATTTAACCTTCATGTACTGTATGTGATTATTAACTACTACGGAGAGGATGAACAAAACGTGACGAGGAGAATGATAATGATGATCCCGCTACGTCTGGAAACGAAACGTTGCGTCGAGATATATGAGGAGGCGAAGACAAACTTTTCGGCGTACACCAAAAACGTCACTCTGCGCCGTAAACTGCTTCCAAAACCTTCTTCTCTTTAACTCTCACTTCTTCAATTACTACTAATCCTAACCCTAATATCACTTCGCTTAATTTCGCAGCAAAAACCAGTCTCAGACGACAGCATTTCAGGTAATTTTTTGCAATTCAGACTCCAATCTTATTCTCATTACACAGAGGAATTTGCTAATCCAATCACTTCTCTCTTGAATAACTGCCAGATGAAGACGACACCGTTTTCCCCAACAGTGCGGTGTCCTCAGACCCCATCCACAAGGTTCACACCCAAACATTTTGTTCAAATTGAAATTTTGTTTTGTCGAATCTATTACGCCCATCACATTACATATGCAAATGGAATCAAACCACCATTACTATCACTATCTTTTTTTTTTAATTTAATTTTAATTAATTTTTATAGCAAGAATTGCCACTGGTGGTGCGGCTGGACATTCTAAAAGGTGCGTCATCTAACTGTTTTATTTTCTATTAGAATTCTTTTCTAGTTAGTTATTAAGGACTGTTTGGACAAGTTTCTTCAAAATATCAACTAGAAAAAAATAAGAAGAGAAAAAATAAATGTGTTTCTTCATAAAATCTTACTTTTACTTGTTCATATATTAAATTTAGCTTAAATAGAAAGGAAAATGAATTTATGGATAAGCTTGTTCAAACAGGTCCAAATTTTTAATATTAATTATTGATTTTGAGAAGGGTACTGCTATACAGGAATCAGTAATCAGAATTTGTTTGCGAAAGGCACCAGTTCTTCATTTGAGGCATGCATTTTGGGTTCCTGCTTGTTTTCGGACTAGTTTATTGTGAAGAATGGAAGTAACTGATGCTGTTATTCTTGTCATTGGTGTGATCAGAAACCACTTGAGGATGATGTTGAAATGCCTGACTTCAACGACGGAGAGGTGGTTGCCAATTCAACTGATGAAGAAAACAATTCAGCAGATGGGGTGATCTTTAAAGTTCTCATAGAATGTTTTACTTCTTATCTTTCAGCCATCTATTTATTAGAAAACACCAATATGGTTGCTGAACTCAAATTTGCACCACTGACGGTGGTGTGTCAATTAGGTCGGTCTCTGATTTTGGTGTGTCAAGGAAGACCAAATTGATTAATGGTTGTCAAAAGTCTAAGACCGAATTTTCCTCTTCCTAGCATTCGGGACCAAATTGATTGAAAATTGTCAAAGCACTATGTTTGATGTTTTGGTAATATCAAGGACCAGAGTACTAATTTCTGAACCAAACTGATATTGTACTAGTCATTTTTTTTCCATTTCTTATTTCCAACTTATGCATGGCTTATCCCTTTCTTGTTTTTTAGAGTAGATAATCAAAATTTAATCCTTGAATTATGTTGCATTTGTCACATTAGTCTGTGAATGATGAAAATTGTGCATTACTTTAGTCGAATTAGTCCCCACATTAGGAATTTTAGGAAATGAATTGAGTAACAGAATGAACATTCAATGACTAATTGACTAACTAAATGCTTATTCAAGAACCATCCATGAGTATAATTTTTAAAACTTAGGGACTTGTATGATTTACTTTGTTAACGTGTATCTTTCAGGAGCTATTTTGACTGTTGATTCTTTATGTTTGTTTACTTCTTAAAGGGTAACACTGTCATATCAACCAGAAAGCTCCACAGGTATGGTCCACAGTCTATCAGAAATAGAGATATAACCAGAGTTTCTGAACCATTCTTACATTCCAGAGAAAGCGTCTCAGCATCCCATACTACCTGCTCCAAAGCAAATACATCTGGTATGTGCTTCGAAGAGAATACATTTTTTTCTGGACTAGAGCATGAAGTGCTCCAAAGAGAACCTTTCAATTGTCTGAATTATTGATTATTCTGGGTCATCCCTATACTGGGCTACTAGCTTCAGGGTTTTATACCATTCATAATTTATTCTGTTATCCTTGCTACATTTCATGTTGGTAAAATAAGTATGCTATGAAATGTACAAAGGATTTCTGTTGTTAGGAAACATTTGATCAGAAGTTGGATTTATGAGCTCTCCTCATAACTCCTAACTTTTAATTGATGAGACAACTGCACTCTAGTCTTGGCCACTGGTTCTGTGCAACCACATGGAGAACTGTTTGAGTATAGTTTTACTCTCTATGTTTTCTCTGTACAGCAGTAGTATGATAGGTTTATTTTCTTTTCTTTTGTACAGCAGTAGTTTGTTAGGATTTCATGTTTAAGTACAACTAACTAACTGATAGTTAATGTGTATTTCTCTTAGTTAGTTTGACTTTGTTTTTCTTACTTTACAACTTAGGAATTTATTCCTTAAACCATATGTTTTTTTCAATATGTGCATTCAGAATTCAATACAATAATACATCAGATATTCTCTTTCCCTCTTATCTCATCTATTGTTTCTCTGTTCTTATTATCTCTAGGTCACTGGTTATCACATTATATAGGTTTTGTGCATCCATATTTTTACTATATATCAGCTTTGGATGAACTTTTTCCCCCTGTTGACAGAAAAATAATTTTCTTGATTTTTATTTTTATTTTTTATTGTCTAGATGCATCTTAGTATTGGTGGACTGTGGACATAGTTGGCGTTCCCTAAGAAGTTATTTCTCTTTGCTTGTAGTGTTATTATCTAGCTTTAAGTGTACGTCACCACAATAACAACTGTTTCAATTGTTGAATGTTAATACCTGAAGTACTATATCAAGTTCATAACAGTTGCAGGGATTTGGAAAGCTAAGCCAATATTTTCATTGGCAACAAGGTCTCATAAATGTGGGGGCATTGGTCCTTCAATCCCCAATATTGACAGCTTGCCTGAGCTTATCAAAGCTGTTGGTCCTAGGACTTCAGCAAATTTAGATGGAAATCATCTTGAAGACGATGACAAAATTGAAATAAATTCAGACATTGAACCTGCTGAAACAGAAGCTCTTCCACATGGATTTAATCTTGCCACAATGAATGCTCATTGTAACAACCTTCAAGATAAGGCCAATCAGGTGGGTAGAAATTTTGAAATGCTTCCCATACTCTTTGACCTATCTATTTACTTCTTTTCCGTATGAGATCTTTCTTGCATCCATATTCCAATATTCCGAATGATTTGGTGCAGCTTTTGCAGAAGAGTAGTAGATCCCACTTACAAGAGACAGTTGTTGACAGTGAAGATTCCTCAGAACCTGTGGAAAGTGGATCTTCAAGTGACAATGAGGTATATAACTATATATGCACTATGATTGCTTGTCATGACTTGCTGTTAGGATATAAGAAGAATAGTTGGTTAAGATAGTTAGAATATTAATAAATTAATTAATATCGTTAGAATATATATGAAATATTTAGTTAGTTAGATATAAATAGGGGAAGATGGATAGAAAATATTCAGAGTTGTTATTGTGAATTAAGTAGCTCTCTCTGAAGGGGAAACCCTTGTAGGAGAGGGGATTGATATATGTTCATTTGTAGATTGTGAAAGGAAAAACTCTTTTTGAAGAGGAAACCCTTGAAGGAGAGAGTTCTCTCCTTTTTCTTATGCTTTTCTTTCTCATTTCAACTCTTGATTCATAACACTTGCTCTACATCTACTTATTTTTACAGGCAACTTATCAACAAATAAAAAATACCTTCCCTGTAAAAAAAATGCAGACCATGGCAGAGCGATTTGTAGAAGCTTTAGGGACATCCTCTGTTACCACTGAAGGGACTCATATTGGAGCAATTAATTCTTTGAGGTATGAAATAGTAGTAGCTTCCTGGTACTTTTGTGCAATTAAAAAAATGAATTTAATTCTCAATGCCTGGTTGTCTTGCCAAATTGTGCAGTGCTGGATTATTTGGAAAACTACAGCAGATGATGCTGAAAGAAAAAGAAACAGATATGAACTTCTGGCAAAAGTTACAAGCTGGAGCTAGGCCTGATAGTAAAACTTTTGCTTTTACTTTCTCTGCGGTTTTCATTCTTATCTAAGCAAAACACCATTAAGACTTCTTTCATTACTGAAACAATCATTTGGTATTAGTTTTTCATTTGATTCTTTTGGAAGCGAGGGGGGGTGGGGGGTTGAGTGCACATAAAGTAGAACATAAACCTGGTTATTCACACAGTATGCTTTCATTTACTCATAATGAAAAAATCATAGGTCAACCTGGCTGCATTGATGTAAAAATCATTTCAAGATACCATGATGGAAAGCTGACTGTTTGTCACTGCTCATTTGGCAAGTACACGGAGGTGAGGTGAAGTTATAAAAATCAACTTATTTTAACTGAAATTTGATCTCGGTAGATTGTGTTTTTAGATGCTTACTATTGTGGTGGGCCAAATTCTGATAGATCTTTGAAGGTTTGTCAGAAAAAAGGTAAAATGCAGTTATAATTGAAGTATAAGGTCAAATTGTATTTTTGTATGTGAGAGTAGGCAGTTATTTCTACATGTACTATTTAGTGTCAGAAGAGTGCAGTAACCGTTTGACATTATTAGGCGGTCACTTTATTATATAGTTGATATTTGCTTGTCTGACAGTGATGGGGAGAAGTTATGTACGAATTTGCATGTATGTTCAAGAAAGGACTCTCTTGGGGCTAAGGCCTGTGTTTATGGAATTGTCCTCTTTGTTCCATTCAGGAATGTTAATTATCCTATTTGTGTATGCTATGTTGAGTCTAACATATATCCACTGAAGATAAGGTTTGAATATCCTAAAAGCGTGACCAATGTGGCACTAAAGAGAATTTTATTACTAGATATTTTGCATTTAAAAACTTCATTTTTCTTTAAATACTTGTTGACAATTCTTTTATTTAAATTTATTAATTAAAATGTTAATTGTTTAAGATTTCAATTAGCTAAATGCCTAAATGACCTACCTGATTGTCAATCTATTTTATTTCATCAAGGTATTAAGAAGAAAAGGTGATAATGACTGCCTTACTAATTCCTTGCATTTACAATAGTTTGTATGGTGGTAAAACTCCCAACGTCTCTATTGCATGGATTAAAATCCATGTTGGATAAGGCCTTTGTTGTTGCATCATTCTTACATATAAGAACTTGTTACTTGTAGATACGGTTTTGTTATAATTATTGTAATTAGGTGGCTGTTAAGAGTATTACAGGTGGTTGTTAGAATTAATACAAATTGGTAGTAGTTGAATTTATGAGTTGTACCTATCTGAATCTATATATGTGGGATCATGAGAGTGGTATGATTAACCCCTCTAAAAAAATACTTCTCTCCTTTTAATATTAAGTTGGTATCAGAGCGGGTTAATCCCGCCTTGTTGGTCTTAATCGTCGTCGGTCACCATCTCCATCCGCCAACCGTCGCCTTTGTCCGCAGGTCGCCGCCTCCGACTATCGGTCGTCGTAGCCTTTCGCCACTGTTGCCACGCAGTATCTCTTCATTATCTCTACGGTCTTCTATAAAAAAAAAGCTCCAGCAAACATGTCTTCTGGACCTGTTGTTTCTTTCTCAGGCACTCTTACCATCACTTCTGAGAAATTGAATAGAAAAAATTATCTCTTGGTATGCATCCGTTGAAATGTGGTTCCTTGGCCAAGGTCTCCATGACCATCTTGAACAAGATTTAAGTACAATGCCTCCTGATAAAAGCTGAATAGTGGAAGAGAACTGATTTTCAATTCTGTGCACTACTGTGGCAGTCTGTGGAACCTAAATTATTGGGTACTTTTAGATCATTTAAAACTTGTAACTCCTTTTGGAAAAAGACTTAGACTATCTTTGCAAATGATATTCAACACCTTTATGACTCTGCAAATAGACTTGCCTCCCTTAAACAATTTGATCATGATATGATATCCTTCATGAGTGAAACTCAGTCTGTTGTTGAAGAGTTTAAAATGTTCTTGGAAGTGGAGTCATTAGAAGAAATCAAGAAGAATTAGATAAATTTTATATGGTGATGATACTCCGTGCCATGCATCCTTACTTCGAACATGTTAGAGATCAACTGCTAACAGGGCATGAAGTCCCATCTATGGAAAGCCTGACCACTCGTCTTCTTCTTGTTCCTACTTTTCAAAGTAAAAATACTCATGAGCCTATAGAATCTTCTGTCATGGTTTCCACTGGTGGAAAAGGAGGACGCCATGCTAGAGGAGGTCGTGGTGGTCGAGGTCGTCCTCAATGCTCATATTGTAAAAGGATGGGTCATGTTCAAGATAATTGTTTCGCTTTGCATGGTTTTCCTGATAGCCCATATCTCTAAAACTGATGTTGTTGAACTAATTTTCTGATGAAGAATATCAAGAGAGTATAAGGTTGAAATCCAACCGCTTGACACAATTATCTACAACTCCTAGTTCGTTGACAACTTGCATCTCACAATCTATAGAAAGTCAAAATTCATGGATCATTGACTCAGGTGCATCTGATCACATTTCTGGTAAGATTCCTTGTTCTCATCCCTATCCTTTTCGAAAAGTCATCATTTCATAACTTTAGCTAATGGTTTTGAAGTTGCATCCCAAGGAGTTGGTGAAGTCTCTCTTTCTCCTTCCTTAAATTTAAAATATGTTCTTTTGTTCCTTTATGTCCCTTTATTCTTTTTTCATTAAGTCAATTAACCAAGTCCTTCAATTGTTCAATAACCTTTGATGTCGATTCTTTTGTCATACAGGATTGTGGTACGGGGCATCAAATTGGAGAAGGATATGAATATAGAGGTTTATATCATTTTGGAGCTAAGTTACGTGTAATGTTTTGCATCCCCAAAATTGTTACATGATCAGTTGGGTCATCCCCACTATCAAAATTAAAAAAATTAGTCCCTAAAATTAGTAGAATTCAAACTTTAGAATGTGAGTCATGCCAACTAGGAAAACATGTCAGAGCTTCTTTTTCAAAAAAATCTGAATCAAGATGTAATTCTGTTTTCTCTATTATCCATTCAGATATTTAGGGTCCATGTTGTATCTCATCTTTTGGGTTGAAGTATTTTGTCACATTTATTGATGAATATTCCAGGTGTACTTGGGTGTATTTGATGAAAGATCATTCTGAACTGTTATCCATCTTTACCTCTTTTTTGAATGAAGTTAAAAATCAATTTGGTAAAGTGATTAAAATTCTCAGAAGTGACAATGTCATAAAGTACTTCTCTTTTAATTTCTCTGTACTTTTAAGTTCACATGGTATTTTACATCAGTCTACTTGTGTCAACACTCCTTAGCAAAATGGTATTACTGAAAGAAAAAATAGACATTTAGTTGAAATTGTTCGTACCTTGCTGATTGGTGCTCACTTACCTGTCCATTATTGGGAAGATGCTATCCTAACTGCTTATTTTCGTATTAATAAACTGTCATCCTTCTCTCTTAGCAATAGGATCCCATATTCCATTTTTTTCCCAAATGACCCTCTCTTCCATGTTTCTTCTCGTGTATTTGGTTGTGTCTGTTTTGTTCATGACATGTCTCCTGGCTTAGATAAATTATCTGCCATGCTATTAAAAGTATATTCTTGGGCTATTCTAGTCTTCAAAAAGGGTATTGGTGTTATTCTACTAAAACCAAGAAGTATTACATGTTTGCTAGTGTCACATTTTTTGAACAGACTCCTCACTTTTCTTCATCTGTTCCAATATCCCTTTCATCTAGGAGGTCTTACCTATACCCACAATTGAGTCCATTGTTCCTAGTGCGTCTGACAATCCAAATCCTGAACCAACATCTCCTCTCACACCTAGCCCATGTTCCAAGATCGTTCCTCTTCTTCATGTTCTTCCCAATCAGCAATCCATGATGATTCAGCCTGATCCATTGTCATCAGAAAAGGTATTCGTTCTACACGCAGTCGTCGTCCTATTTATAATTTTCCGAATTATCATATATAGGGTGTCTCCTTCCTATTGTTCTTTTTTATCTTTAGTATCTTCTATTTCTATTCCAAAAAATGTGAATGAAGCTCTCAATCATCCTGGATGGCGACAAATTATGATTGCTTAGATGCAAGCCCTTGGCCAGAATCACACATGGGAGTTAGTACCACTTCCACCTGGGAAGAAGACAATTGGATGTCGATGGGTTTATGCCATTAAAGTTGACCCCAACGGTGAGATTGATCGTCTCAAGGCACGATTAGTTGCAAAAGGGTACACACATATTTATGGTCTTGACTGTAGTGATACTTTTTCACCAATTGCCAAAATGATCACTATTCGTCTTTTCTTTGCCATGACCGCTATTTGTCATTGGTCTCTTCATTAGTTGGATATTAAAAATGCATTTCTTCACGAAAATTCAGAGGAAGAGGTCTACATGGAGAAACCTCTTGATTTTGTTTCTTAGGGTTTGTCTCGATTGGTGTGTAAGTTACGTTGTTCTTTCTATGGTCTTAAACAATCACCACGTACTTGGTTTGAGAAGTTTAGCCACATTTTTCAAACTTTTGGTTTGAAACGTAGTGAAGTTGATCATTCAATTTTTTATTGTCACACCTCCCCTGAGAAATGTGTTTACTTGATTGTATATGTTGATGATATCATGATGATGCTGCAAGAATATCTCAACTAAAAGAACACTTGTGTAATCACTTTCAAACTAAGGATCTTGGAAGGCAAAAATATTTCTTGGGGATTGAAGTAACTCAGTCAAAAGAAGTAGTTATCTCTCAAAGAAAGTATGTCTTAGATATTCTAAAGTAGACAGGCATGGTTGACTACTGTAAATCAGTAGATAGTCCCATGGACCCAAATCAAAAGCTAATGACAAAACAGGGTGAATTGTTCTTTGATCCAGAAAGGTATAGAAGACTAGTTGGGAAACTTATTTATCTGATTATCACGAGACCTGATTTGTCTTTTGCAGTGGGTGTTGTAAGTTAGTTTATGCAAGCTCCTTGTACTGACCATTGGAATGCTATTATTCGAATGCTAAGGTACCTCAAAATGGCCCTAGGACAAGTTCTACTATACGAAGATAAAGGAAATTCCAAAATATTTGGATATTGTGATGCTGATTGGGTAGGATCCCCCACTGATAGGCGTTCTACTACAGGATATTGTGTTTTCCTTGGAGGAAATATTATTTCTTGGAAAAGTAAGAAACAAAATATAGTAGCCCGATCTATTGCAGAAGCGAATACCGAATATCGGGCAATGACTTCTCTTGTGAACTATATGGGGGGAAACAATTATTTGTAGATGTGCTAGTCAAATCCTTAAAGGGACCCGGATTGAATTATGTTGTTCTAAGCTTGGAACATACAATTTGGATGTTCCAGCTTGAGGGGGAGTGTTAGAATTACTATAGTTAGGTGTCTGTTAGGAGTATCACAGGTGACTGTTAGAATTAATTCAAATTGGTAGTAGTTGAATTTATGAGTTGTACCTATATGAATCTATATATATATATATGGGATCATGAGAGTGGTATGATTAACCCCTCTAAAAAAATACTTCTCTTTTTATAATATTAAGTGATTTAAACCCGTGAGCCAACCTAACTCATCTTGGATTCGAGTAGTATGGGATTAAAAAAATAAAAAATAAAATTTTTTGATTGTGGGCCAAAACAAACTTGACTCACTTAACTTGGAGATTAAATGGATTTGAAGCATATTGATGGTTGGTTGATCTGCAACCACTTATTTTTTAGGTGGATGTGCAAAAGCATAGACATCTCAACCAAGTTGGTATATATAGAGTTACCTATCATTTACAACACAAAAATCAAATATTAAACCCATTCTATTTGAATCCTAATCATCTAATTTACCCCACCTGTCCCTAAGTTTTACGTGTGAGAAAAATATTTGCTTTAGTGAGTTAACTTACTTAGTCCACTTATTTTACTAATTTTAGAAAAATGATAGAAAACAAAGTGACTCATCTCACCTAAACCACCAACATGGGTCAAGTTGCGTTACAAAATTTTTGACATATAATAAAGATAATAAAGTAAGTCAGAGTGAGCTGTGATCAAATTTTAACTCTACTTGTGGTGTAGTGAGCCAAGTTGAGGTAGAAAATGACTAGTCTCTTGGAAAAGCTAGGATTAACCGTTTATTCTATTTGATTTATATTGCTTCACTTGAACGCAGTGTGACATGATCACTTTATTTGAATGGAATGACCACGTGCATTTTAGACACCCAATATTTAATGCTTCTCAGAAAATTGATAGGTGATAGGTTGTTTTTGCAGAATTTTCTGTTACAAGATAGTTCCAAAGGTATGGGGTTTGGTGGCAGCAAAAGAAGTCATAGCACCATTATCTTTAGCCCAAGGGTTTGCAACAATGTTAACCTTCATGTTGGGAATGTGATCCGAATTCACCCTCCATGGTAAGATAGCAGAGTTTACATTTTATTTATAGCTATTGAATTGAGCTGTGCTTATTTTACCTTCCGTGTGAACCTTGATCTCTTTTTGGTTTTGGTTCTTGGACAGGAAGGATGTTCAAGTGGGAAATGATAATATTATCTTGTGCACTTATTTCTCCGAAATTTGATTCCCAGTTTATTCATTTTAGATTCTTATAAAGTAAAGGAAATTATGCAAACCTCCGTTTGTAGTGGTGGATAGAATATCAAACAAATATGCTGCTGTTCAGCTCTAGGAACTAGGAAAGGGTTATCTTCTTTCATTTGACTCCAGTCAGGGCACCTTTTGAGTTATTGTATACTAGTCTTAAAACTAATTGGCAGAGAGAAAAATTAGAGAAAGTTTAGAGTGAGAATCAGGAAGAACTATCACCTACTTCGAGATTAAGTCAAATTGGTGAAATATGTATTTATTTTTTTGCCATATTAAACGTAATACGAACAGGGATGACTGGATAGGGAACTATGATACAAGTCCTTTACACCACCTCATACCCGTAATGGTAGCAATTTTAGTACCCCGTTCCTGTCTCTGTTGGGGACATGTATACTTATTAACTGCATTTTACTTATATGTATGAAGTTAATAAATCAGTAAAAAGTATCAGTTAAAAAATTACTACAAAATTTAACTCGTGTGTGAAGATGTAGTTAGTTCTTGGGTGTAAATAACACTGACAATCCTTGATTTTTTCTCAAATTAGACTTTTAACCTGTTTTTTTTTTTTTTTTCTCATCATTACAATGACCACCTCGAGGGTATGTATGTGTAATATAAAAAGGAGGACAATGTAATATATTTAAAAAGGGAGGATTTGTGTAGAATTAAAAAAAAAAGTCAGATTAATATGAAAAATCTGATGGTGATGATGTATTTCTTTCTAATTTTGTGCATAACAATGTTAACAATACAGAAGGGTAATTATTAACATATACAGGTTTATCCAAAATTTCTTACAAAAGTTACATGCGTGCAAATATTATATGATTCAATATTATCTTTACAATTGCATACTTGTTTACTACTGAGATAGGAATGAATATATTTTTTTTGTTAATTGGTCAATTCCTTGTTTAATATTTATTTATGTAGCAATAATGTCTTTCTGAATTTGATCGCAGTAATTAGCTATGATGGATCATTCGATAATATATATATATATATATATATATATATATATATATATATATATATATATATATATATATATATATATATATCCTTTTAAAAAGTATGAAAAAGGATAAATATATAATTTCTAAAACCTAATTTTATTCTTTATATTTTTAAACTGATTAATTCAATTTTTCAAATTTTAACAATATTATTTAATATTTAGTGATGATTTTTATCATTATGGTGTTAAGAAAGTGATGGAATTTATGAAATATGTATTTTGATTTATATATTTAAATTTAATATTTAGTAACAATTTTTTATTGTCATAAATTAATAGAAATATTAAATTATATTTTTATTAAATTAACTACTAATTAATAAAGTTTTAAAATGCTGATATTAATATTAAATTTTATAAACAAATCCATTAAAGAAATACATATTTAACAAAAAAAATAATATTATTGGTTATGTTGAACAAAGACTTTATTGTAATTGTAGCTTTAAAAATTTGTTTGATCTTTTTAAGAATTTGTTTTTTTTTCCTGGTTTATCATGGATATAATGTTAGTTTGTATGTGTGGCATTTAGAAGATTTCCCATTATGTATATATTGGGTCCATACTAATTCTTTACTTTCAAATAAGAAAAGAAAATATTAGACATCCGAACATCATGACGATTGTTGTTGGGTATAGAGATGATCAACACATCATACTTAGCATAGTTCCTCGTTTCCTCAAACTCATGCCACGAATCTCTTTCGTATGCCACGTCGCAAATTAACATCATCACTTCTATTATTCATTGCTTTCTTCAAAAATAAAAGAGGTGCATTATTTTGATTACAAATCTTACAATTTTTTTATTACTTTTTCTTTTTCATTTTATAATTGTTTATTAATAAGAAATTTTACTAATCTGTTCAGTTACTTTTCCAGTTAATCTAATATATATTTTTGACTTACTTTTCCTAATTTTAGTTTACATGTAACTTTAGTCTTGGGCAAAATAATGTTTATATAGCTAATGACGTAAGAGATTTTCTTAATTTTAGTTTATATGTAACTTTAGTCTTGTGTAAAAACGAAAAAAAAAAAAGTTTTAGTCTCAATTATATTTTTAGCCTTTTAAGCGAACTCTCAACAAAACAGACATTATGTAATAATTAATAGAATTGTAATATATAATATACAAATTTTACATCATAAAATCATCTTAATATAATTTTTAAATTATTTTTTATAAAAATAAATAATTTTATCATACATTATACATAAGTGTATTTAAGTTCGAAGATAGTTAGAATACATTTTTTTAATAATGATTTTAATCATATATAACACATTATTAATCTTTACAATATTTAATTTAAAACTTAATTTTGACTAATTAATAATATAAAAATATTTATATTTATAGATAATGAAAGATAAACTCTGTAAATTAAATTTTAATATATAACTTATTTGTATAGACGTGTAAAAAGAAAATATAATATACTTAAAAAAAAAAAAAGAAGAAACACGGATTGTTCTATTACTTTGTACATTTAAATATTTTATACAGTTTTTTTCTTTTTCCTAATTTATACAATTTACGTTAAACGACATTTCTGTTAACTATTAAATAGAGTATTCAGAGAAAGAAGTTATCTTGAACAGCTAAACACTATAATAATTAAAATTATAAAAACTAATTATAATATAGAAATTACCTGTTAATTACAAAAAAATAATCATGAGATATATTGATCCACTTTAAACTTATCCTATTGATTATTCGTCTCAATTATATATAGTTTTCAAAGATAAATGATGAGAAAATAAATACAAAAGAAAGTTCTTGAACATTTTTTTTTCATAAATAAACAATAATACTAGCAAGAATGCATGAATGGAACTAGAAATTTTTAGATGTTGAAAATAATTTTATGGTTTCTCTCTAGGTTTTCACTTGTTGGTTTCTGAGATATGGCACCTGCAGGTATATTGAGCAAGTTGTGGAGCTTTATTACTTTCCTTCCATTCTTCTTCTTGCTCTTTATCCTCGGCATCATAAAAGGTTCATTTTCCCGTCTCTTTCTTTCAGCATTTGTTTTTGTCCATTTTTTTAGTTAGACTTAGACACATGAAATACATGTAATATTCATATTCAGACTTCGCAGAATCTATCTGCTACTATATATTTTGATAAATAAAGTTACTAGTTAAATTCTTGACTAGGTGGTGGTTCCTATCTGGCAGGTGCACTGATAGCTCCAATTGCATTTGTCACTATTGGCACTGGAAATTCAGCTGTTATCATTGGACTTTGGAGTGCACATGTATTTTGGACATACTACTGTGTGGCAGGGTTGTATTTTTCTTTCCAAATTGCAGCATGTTATTCTATTGATCTTTGTCTACAATTTCTGTTCACCCTTTTGAATTCCTGGACCTTTGACAATAGGACAAATAGGTTTGGACCGGTCTTCAAGGTCGTGGTGCTCATGTGTTTGCCAGTTCCTCTGTTACTTTCGCCAATAGTGGGTATTGTTGGAAGCCTTTTAGGTGGAATTGGATATGGTTTTTTTGCTCCACTTCTTGCAACTTTTCAGGCTGTGGGGAAGGGAGAGGCTGTTAACAAAAAAGTTTATCATTGTTTCAATGTAAGTGAGAATTTTTAAGAGACTACCATATCATGCATGTGCTATTCTATGTTTTTATATTAGTTCATATTTGTTTTGGAAAAAGCTTGAAACTTGTAACCCTGCCAGTGTGATATAGTTAACTTTCTTAGTATCAGACGTAATTATTCTATGTAGTTTCTGGACTTGGAAGAATGCAAGAAGGTTTAATGCTTACTTAATTCTGATACCAGGATGGTTGTTGGTCAACAATTGAAAGAAGCTGCACAGTGGTTCAAGATGTCACAGACTTCTGTTTCCACTCCTATTTTTCGTACATGGATGAACTGAGAGAAAACTTACCCCCTCACGAAAAGCCGTTAGATATCCGGTGAGTTATTCTCCCCCAATCATTTATCTGATGTGAAACAAGAGGCTTGTTGAGAAAAAAAGTTGGACAATTTCAATTGTTTTCTTGCTAGATTGTCAATATTACCGTGTTGCTTGTTGGTGATCATAGTTGGCGTGCCATTCGACATGGCTTTAATAACCTTAATTGCTATATGGAAGAGTCCATATATGCTGTTCAGAGGGTGGAAGAGACTATTAGAAGATTTGATTGGAAGAAAGGGACCTTTCCTAGAAACTGAATGTGTCCCATTTGCTGCCCTTGCAATCATCCTCTGGCCTTTGGCTGTTGTAGTGGCTGTATTAGCAGCTACCTTTTGCAGCCCTTTTCTAGCCCTATACAGTGGAGTTGTTGTGCATCAGGTTAGTACTTAGTAGGAGCATGATGCTCTAACCATTTATGCAAGTTTTAAGAGATTTCATTGAGAGAAAATTTTGTTTACTTTTAGGAAGACTCAGTGAAGATGGGGTTTGCCTACATTGTGTCTGTGGTTTCACATTTCGATGAATATGTAAATGATTTACTCTACTTGAGAGAGGGATCCTGCTTTCCCAGGTGCCATCGAATTTTGTTTACTTTAGTGACATATTTCTCTGTCGAAGTGCATTGGATAATGATTATTAGTGATCACTGATTCTGATAAGTCCATGTGACAGCCAGGCCAGTATACCAAAGAAACTCTAGTCATGCTGTTGAGAGGGAAAACCCTGTAAGAGGTGATGATGATTTGAAACACAGAAGGGATGGTTCACAAAATTCAAAACACGCCTTGCAACAATCCAGAAGTCTGAAATGGCGAATTCAGCAATACAGACCTGTGCAGGTGATTCTTTATGGTAACAAAACATGAATGATTTGTTACCATCAATTTTGGTAACTTTAAAAATAATTTTTCTTTTGCAGGTATGGGACTGGCTGTTCAAGTCATGTGCAGTGAATGGCAGGATACTCCTCCGTGATCGCCTCATAAGCGTTGGGGAAATTGAGGAATGCATTTTGAAAGGCAATTGCAAAAAATTAAGCATCAAGTTACCTGCTTGGTCTTTGCTGCAATGTCTTCTAACTACTGCAAAATCCAAGTCAGATGGATTGGTGATCTGTACTGCTCTTATACTCACTGACATCTCTGTTTTATGATGCATAGATACAGTATATCTGTATAGGATATACTGTAATGCAATTCCAAAAATATATAGTATATGTGTAAGATACATATTTAGATATGTACAAGTATATAACTACAATTATGAAAATCCAAACTAATAAATACTCCATGAACATTGCCAAGATAAAAAAAAATCATTGTCATCATTACCATCGATCTCATTGTTTTCTATAAACAGAACAGTTTCAGTTTCTATTTTTGGTTCATCAAGAGACCGTATATATATATATATATATTATTTATTTATTTATTTATATATTGCATTTTCTTATATGTGGTGGATTTTCATAAAATGGGTGAAAAGCTTGGACATTTTACCTGTACATGTTGGTCAAGTATCCAAGAGTTTCAATATTGGATAGATGAAATAATTGAAGTATGGGTGCTTCATAGCCAATATTTCATTGCAAAACATAACCATATTCATGTTTCTGCAGCCGAGGATGTAGTGTTGACGAGGATGAATGGACCAAAGGATAAAGTGTTTGAGTGGTTTATTGAGCCTTTATTGGTGATGAAAGAGCAGCTTAAAAAACTAGAGTTGGAAGAAACTGAAGAAACTTGCCTGATGGAATTAGTCATGAAATGTAAAAATGAATTGCCGGAAGAGTGGGATAGCACTGGATTCCCATCTGATGACACTGTTAGGAGAGCACAATTGCAAGCCATAATTAGAAGGTACATGTTTAGAATATAGTATTATATGTGCCTGATTGGATACATATTAGAAGATTTTTTAGATCTTTTCTACTAAAAATATGAAGTTTTTCCAAAAAAGATTTCAAAAGCACTTCTAAACATACCTCACGTTCTTTGACTGCCTTAAAATGAAGAAGTACATGTTCTTTTTGTATAATTTTTTTAAAGGTGGTTAATATGGCACCCTTAGATTTAACCAAGAGAGACCATGAATACTTCACTGATAATTCATGTCAGGCAATACATATCTTAATTGGGTACCAATAGCACCATTCATATCAATGGAATATGACTGAGTCGGTAATTATAACAACCTAGTTTTGATACTTTAACGTCTTGTTTATAGTGATGGATCTTGATCATTCATCTTGGATGGGTCAAATAATATATTATTAATAAATAATAAATAAATATAAAATTAAGTAAGAAGATGAAAAGATAAAATTATAAATATATTAAATGATCATTAAGTTTGAGGGAAAAAAAATCATAAATTATATAAGAGTTACAAAACTAAGAAGGGGCCGAGAGGATAAAATTGTAAATATACAAGTAAACCAAAATAATAAATTACATAGAAGTTACAAAACTACTTTGGAGGGTCACGATCTCCTCAGCTCCCAAGAAGATTACGCCACTGCTTGTTGCTTGTTGGGTTTAATTAAGGGAGACAAAATAATTTTATAAGAAAATATGAATTTTCTTAATGATTTAACTAAAGCAGACAAGATAATGTTATAAAAAAATTACATTATTTTTAATCTAAAACCATAATTTACAGTTGAACTCAAACAAAAACAACATATGTCAATGCGATTGTTCAAATTACTTGTGTGAAAGGAGTTCTTGTGAGTCCAGCATCTATATTATAGATAACCAATCAAAAGTTCAAAATAATGTTAAAATAATTTTGAACCTGTTTTATATATTTCTTAGTAACACTTATATTTTAAGAAGAAAAAAGTTATTTGAGCAAACTATACAAGCACTTCAATGTATCCTAAGCTCTTGATTGCTTGTGCCTACAGGCATTGCGCACACAAGCGTTAACCCTATGTATGAACCCTTCTCTGTAAATGGATAACAAAAAGGAAGGAAAGTGGTAAGGCAAACTTTACGTAACTTCATTTTCTTCTAGTTTATTGAGGAAAGCATAACAGGATTAACCAATGATTTTAGTTACCATCATGAATCCTGGTAATTATGAGGTTTAGTTATGTTTTTGGTTTCTGAAACGGAGATTTTTTTGGCCAACACAAACACTAAGATTTATTATTATATTAATATTTTGGGTTGTTGAACCATTGTTTAAGTTGTGAAATTCGGGTTAAATAATTTTTTAGTTTTTCAAATGAAAAAATAAGTTTATTTTAATCTCTGAAATTTAATAAAATATGTTTTTAGCTCTTTTAAAAAAAAAATCATTTCTAGATTAAAAATAGCTTTAAAATACTCATTTTTAGATTAAAAACAATTCACAAAAGTCATTTTATTCTTTTAAATTTATTGTTAGATACTACAATTTGCTTTTTCAATTTTGAGGGACTAAAACATTTCTTTTTATTTTAAAAAATTAAAATTAAAACTACTCTAAATTTGAGAGACTAAATACGTAATTAATCCTAATTATAATAACAAAACTACAAGAAAACATAAGAATGTCGTCATGGGCTCCTCACAACAGTACAGGTGTCTCGAACAATGGCAATGAAAAGAAGAGGGCTGATTCTTTCTGCATTCCGTATTCATCCAAAATAAAAAATATTTTTTTTTCTGCGCATCTCATATTTACATTATCTGGATGCTTTCCACATTCGTGTTTTCAAAATTTGTTTGGAATAAATTTTTTCAAAATATTGTGGTAAAAACTTTCCAAAATTTTTCTAGAAGTATCTGTTTAATGTTCTAAAATCAACTTTTTAAAAATATTTTGGATTCACCTAGCAAAAGTTTTTCCTAAATATTTTGGAAACAATTTTTTGAAAATATTCTGATTCATTTTTCCTAAATTATTTCTGGATTTAGCATTTCGAAAATTTTATTCCTCCGAAACCACCCGCAGCTCCTTCTCCGACATCACCACTTCATGAGCCCCCACTGAGACCATCACCTCCTCCAGCACCACCTCCATCGACTCTTCCAGAGGCATTTTTCCAACTCCACTACCCCACTATGTCCTCCTCCTAAAGCCCCCAACACCACCTCCTACAACTCCTCCTTTACCACCACCCTTTAAACCTTTCGGATTCATCTATCCGGATAATTTATGGGTTCAATAATCTGGAACACTGTAAGGTAATATTTGTTAGAGTAAGTATTGGATGCAGGAAGAATGAGCCAAATAAGAGACATAACAAACGAGCAAGACGTCTAGGTTTGGAGCCCTTCAAGTCAATTGGATTGTTATTGTTTGTGTTTGTGTTTGGTACCATCGAATCGGTGGGTTGTTCGATGCGTTTTAAAGTGGGTGGTTGAGGTTGGGAATACTGGGGAGTGTAGCGGAAAAAACATGCGGTGGAAAGAGAAATGAAACAAGTAAAAAGAGCAAGACACTCTACTGGTACTTATGGTACAACTTTCCCAAGTATAAACCTAAGTCCTTTTCTTTTCAGGTTGCAGGGGATTGTAGCTTCCATGTCCCGGATACCAACTTTTAGAAGAAGATTCAGGAATTTAATCAAGGTTTTGTACATAGAAGCATTGCAGGCTGGTGCCTCGGCTGGTCACATTGGAGGCACTGTAATTCACAATCTTGGGGAAAACATCAAAGAAGCCAATGTTGATGAAGCTACCAATAAATGTTGAACACATCACATCATATATGAAGATGGATATCTGTGTCACTCACATTTTGAAGATTGAATCTTCTTGTTATTTTTGCTTTTGTTAATTTTCTTTTCTTTTATGCCTTTTCGAGATTTTTTTACATATATAATATTATAATAATATATAAATATTTACTAAATTTTTGTTTCCTGAATTTTAACCTTAAATTTATTATTATTTTTAAATAAAAAATTAAATAAAAATATAATTAAAAATAAAAAAATTATATAAAAATTATATTAAAAATAAAAAAATTATATAAAAATAATATTAAAAATAAAAAAATTATATAAAAATAATATTAAAAATAAAAAAATTATATAAAAATAATATTAAAAATAAAATTTTAATTTTAAAATTTAAATAATATTTATATATAAAATAATAAAAATAATGTATTATTTAAATAATTATTAAAAATATTAAATAATATTTTTTTATTATATATATATATATATATTATTTTTTAATAGGAAATTTAAAATTTATATATTTTTTATTATATGAATTATTTAAGTTATAATTTTAGTAAAAAATAGAATAAATAAAAATTTAATTTAGGTAATATATTAAAAAAATTAAATATTATATTATAAAATTTTATGTAATAGTTTTTATTTGATAAATTATAAATATTATATTAAAAAATTCATGTTAAAATTAATTTTTTTAAAATAATAAAGTAAAAATATTATTTAATTAGTTAAAAATTATTATTATTAATATAAAATAAACTTAAAAATAAAAAATAATAAAAATTGACAGAATTTAATGTATAATATTAAAAATAACATAATTATTGATAATAAAAATTGAAAAATAAAATTATTGACAATAATGTTAAGAAAATTTTAATCTCTAAAGTGGTGTCCAGTTTCGCAACGAGGACGACGTTATTACGTTTTGGACGTTTTGGATTTCGTCGGTGTGATTGTTCTTGAATTTCAAGAGAAATTTGTGGAGGGTTTTCTTCTTCATGAACCTCCAGATTTTGGAATGTAGTTGAGGAACTACCTGGTTGGTTAGCATAATCTGGTTGGTAAAGAGAATTGATGTAAGCTTGAGTTGATGCTGGAGTTGAAAAATCTACTCCAAATAAGTTTTAGAAGATATCCTCTGAGGTTGTTGCAAAAGAATGTCTTCTGTCAATTGTATTTGGTTCTGGCGTCACAAATTGTTGAGGTAAGGAAACAAGTTGTTGAGGCTCCTCATACGATGATATGAAAGTTGCATCAGTTTCAAAAGTGGCTCCAGTCCGTGGTTGTTAGCGGACTCTTGGATCTTTGAGCAATAGTGGTACAGATAGAAAAATAATAGAATTGACATTGTACCATTGCATGTATTCTATTGTGTGAAATAATGTATCTTGCATTGAATGACCCACTAATGTCAATTGACGTCTATTATTCCATATATCAATCCAGTGAACATGTTTTGTTATCCAATTTTCATCATGTCTTCCCCTCATATCAATGTTGTGTAGGTCATCCAAATTATTTGGTGGAGAAGGGATTTTTTGGAATAAACCAAATTGTAACTTCACTCTATCAGATTGGTGTCATTCAACAATTGCAAACAGATGTAGTCCACAATTGGGCATCCCTAAATGATTGAACTGGGATTGATCTTTGCAAGTCCTTATATGGGGTCCATAAAAACTTCCACCAAAAAATAATTTTTGTTATTAAAACAAACCAAAATTAAAATAAATGAATTAATAATTTTAAAAGAAGATTTACCTGATCAGTTTGAATGTGATCAAACATAGTTCTATACCCGACAACATCATTGTGAGGTACATTTCTAAAGTTTAACACTCTACCTCCGCTCCATTTGCAGACCAATGGGTATGTTGGTGGAAGTCTAGAAATTGGAGCAATATATGGCATGCGATGCCATGCCCAAGATTGTAAAAGTGATGCACAACCACTCATTGTTTTGGCCTTTACATCCGTTGCTCTACACATTTTCCTGTACAACACAGCTAAACAAGCAGATCCCCAACTATAACGCCTAAAACTTTTAAGATTAGTTAATAAAGTTAAATACATAAGATGAACCTTATTTCTTGTTTTGTCAGGCATCAAAATACCTCCAATTAAACCTAATACATATGCTCTACAATGGGCATGACGTTGTTCTTCTGATGGTTGTTCTGGGAGTTGTAAAATATTTTCCCTAAGCCACTTTAGTTTGATCATAGAGCCAATTAGTGACTCTCCTTTGACTAGCACAATGCCCAAATATGTTTCACAGATTTCGTCCCAATCTAACATTGTTGGACCAATGACTGGTAATCCATCAACTTTTAACCCGAGTTGAATTGCAACATCCTCTAGCGTTATGGTGCATTCTCCTATTGGAAAATGGAATGTGTGAGTTTCAGGTCTCCACCTTTCTATCAGAGCTGTTACCAAAGCATGATCAACCTTTAGATGTCTTAGCTTTGCTACTAGAGCAAAGCCTACTTGTTCTAGTAATGGAACAATTAAAGGGTGAGGTTCTGACATTGAGTGACAATATGATGATATAATATTTTCAGTCTCCTGCAATTATTAACGAATTAGACACAATATTTGTTCATATACAAATAAAGTATAAATAAATAAGGATGATATGTTAAACTTACCGTCCTACCAATGAAGTTAGCTCTGTGTTCATTTGCTTTGATAATAACATTTTGACTGACTGATATTGCAAGTATGTGATAGATTAAATAAAGCCATACCATCTATATTTATAGGAAACCTTAACATTGATTGGGAGAAGAGAAAGTGTGGTAGTTATGAAGTGTGCCCGACAAGTCACACTCATTCGATTTACGTGCTCATTAGAAGGTATCTTTCTTTGTTGAGAGAAGTGAAAGTGTGAGAGTGATGAGGTGTGTCTGACAAGTCATACTCACTCGATTTACGTGCTCCTCAGAAGACATTTTTTTTTGTTGGGAGAAGTGAAAGTGTGAGAGTTGTGAAGTGTGTATGACAAGTCACACTTAATCGATTTACGTGTTCATCAGAAGACATCTTTTTTGGTGAAGTGTGCCTAATAAGTCACACTCACTCGATTTACGTGTTTCTCAAAAGACATCTTTTTTTATTGGGAGAAGTTAAAGTGTGAGAGTGGTAAAGTGTGTCTGACAAGTCACACTCACTCGATTTACATGCTCCTCAGAAGATATATTTTTTTATAGGAAGAAGTGAAAGTGTGAGAGTGATGAAGTGTGTCTGACAAGTCACACTCACTTGATTTACATGTTCCTCAGAAGACATATTTTTTTTTATTGGGAGAAGTGAAAGTGTGAGAGTGATGAAGTGTGTCTGACAAGTCACACTCACTCGATTTACGTGCTCCTCAGAAGACATATTTTTTTATTGGGAGAAGTGAAAGTGTGAGAGTGGTGAAGTGTGCCTGATAAGTCACACTCACTCAATTTACGTGCTCCTCATAAAACATCTTTTTTTATTGGGAGAAGTGAAAGTGTGAGAGTGGTAAAGTGTGTCTGACAAGTCACACTCACTCGATTTACGTGCTCCTCAGAAGACATATTTTTTTATTGGGAGAAGTGTGCCTGACAAGTCATACTCACTCGATTTACGTGCTCCTCAGAAGACATATTTTTTTTATTGGGAGAAGTGAAAGTGTGAGAGTGATGAAGTGTGTCTGACAAGTCACACTCACTCAATTTACGTGTTTCTCAGAAAACATATTTTTTTATTGGGAAAAGTGAAAGTGTGTCTAACAAGTCACACTCACTCGATTTACGTGCTCCTCAGAAGACATATTTTTTTTATTGGGAGAAGTGAAAGTGTGAAAGTGTGAGAGTGATGAAGTGTGTCTGACAAGTCACACTCACTCGATTTACATGCTCCTCAGAAGACATCTTTTTTTATTGGGAGAAGTGAAAGTGTGAGAGTGGTGAAGTGTGCCTAACAAGTCACACTCACTCGATTTACGTGCTCTTCAGAAGACATCATTTTTTGTTGGGAGAAGTGAAAGTGTGAGAGTTGTGAAGTGTGCCTGACAAGTCACACTCAATCGATTTACGTGCTCCTCAGAAGGCATCTTTGTTGCTTCCTTACTTACCATTATAAATAAAAGGTATAACTTTGTTCATTTTACATGTTACCATTATCACTTACATTCTCCTTCTTTGGTTGTTTGTTGTTTTCACTCTAAAAATTTTTCTACCTTTATTATTTTCAGAGAAATGGGTTCTATATATGTCATTGTTTACTATGATGGTGCCATAAACAGCTGCCCTATTGAAGGAGTCACTTTCAACTCAACATTCGCCAAATTGGTGTCTTTAAGAATAGGTCTATCTCTACAAACGATGAAGAAAATCATCCACAAAAAATGTGAGAAAGATGCAAATGAAAGGGTGACAACTATACATTTTTGGTACCCAATACAACTTGGGCCTGGAGTTAACAACTACACAGCTGTGGAGTTGAAGGATGATGAAGACATCGAAACAATCTTCAACATACATGATTCAAATGTACTTCAATCAGGTATTGAACTATATATTACATTCTATGCATGTACTTCGTCATTTATCCAAGCCTCACAACCACAACTTTCACCCTCACATTACCCTATCCATGACGCGATAAACCCACATATAACAACAAATGATTTCAATTGGGAAAATGACACTCAATCGTTCACCCAACTTTTAAGTTATCCTTTGACAAACCAAAATGAATTAGAACCACAACAAAGCCAACAACCACCCATAGAAGAAAATGCTATTGTAGGTCTTCCAACAAAATTTTTTTATCCTTTTAGTGAAGATGAAGACGAAATCCTTAGCCAAATTCCAGATGATGAAGAATATGTACAAGTGCATCCACCTTCAAATATTCCTCCATCACAACCAAACATACCATACAACTCACCACAACATTTTCTCAACTTCCCAACTCATATACAAATAGATGATTTAGAGTTTGACCATGTCCTAGATCGGGAAACAA